TCAGCAGACAGTTAAGTTTCACTTTCGCTTTGCTTTGCTGCTGAGAGCCTGCAGGAGTCATGGGCGGGGTGTGTGGGGAGGGAGGTGGGGGTGCCCTGCCATGAGGAAGTTTGGCTTAAAGACACGTCCCAGGGGCGTTTCTGGTCCCCACCTGTCATTTTGCTCCTCAGCATGGCTTCCTAAAAACGCTGCAGGATTTCTCAAACATGCATGAATGAGTCAAATCAAGGCTTTGGGCGTGTTTTTTATGAGAGTATAACATTATAACATCACATAAAACTCAAAAAAGTTGATTTTACATGATATTGCCCCCTTAAAATTATCTATTTTTTCCATTTTACCTCAATCCCTGCTTTTGGTTTGGCCTTGAGCTTCCTGTAAATGTTGTTTCCAGATAACTCGGTGCAGTCTGTGGTGTCCTTTGACCAGGGAGGGGAATGGGTTCCCCTGAGGAAACCTGACAACATCAAGTGCGACGCAACAGCCAGAGATCCTGACAAGGTGTGACCAGAGAAAATAATTGATCTTTAGGTTGAAATTAAAAGTGACCTGACAACAAACTGTGCTTCTGTTTTAAACTACAGTGCAGTCTTCACATCCATGCTGCTTACAGCATTGCTATGAAGCTGAAAGTCCCCATGCTGCCTCTATCGGAGCCAAATGCTGTGGGTCTTATCATAGCGCACGGTAATCACAACGCCTTTATTACACATGTAGGTTTTGTATATTCAAGGTAGTTCTTCTTTGTCTGAGCATTTTAAAACGTTGTTAACAGGCAGTGTTGGGGATGCCATCTCTGTGATGCATTCTGATGTATATGTGTCCAACGATGGTGGCTACAGCTGGACTAAAGCGCTGGATGGGCCACATCATTATGCTATCCTGGACTCGGGAGGTCTGCTGGTGGCTGTGGAGGACAGAGGGGAAGAACTGATCAACCAGATTAAGTGAGTTGGAGGCAGATCAAGTACAGCATGTGCTGTTTTTTTTTTTAGTCTACTGGTCTGGGTTTTATGTGCCCTGTAGGTGATGTTAAAGACCCATCAAAGCTTTGGTAATGTTTGTAGCTCTGCTAGCCTAAATAGGAGTGGGCTGTTTTATGGAGGGACAGCAAAGAGCACAGATGATCCTCTGTGTGGTGTTGATTGGGGCTGTGTATTGGCAACAATCTGGTTAAATGATGATTATCACAATACAATATATTGTAATATATTTCTATTTTTTTCTTCAAAAGTTAAATTTTTTAACTCTCAGCATAAAGAGCACACCAAGCATTGCGTTCATAAAATCTGATTAATAAAAATAAGTGGAGAACTTATTTCTAGTCTTCTAGAGGAAATGGTTGGAAGATGGTTATTTGATGTTATTTATTGTTTTTTTTAACGTCCTATAGGCTCTGACATGTTAAATTAATTTGAAACTGAGGTTTTGAACAATCCGTAAAACTTTAAAAAATCCGTGAGATTGCTCTATGCATGCAAAATGATGGAAAATCTGTGTAAATTAGACAATCCGTGCAACTTGACATGTATGCTTCATTAAATATCGATACAGTATCAAGAAATGAAATATAATAATATTTTGGCATATCAATATTTTCACACACCCCTACTGTTGATGACCCTCATGTCTGCTGCAGAGTATCCAGTGTAGCACACTAATGTAGCACACTGTAGTGAATAAAACTTCAAATGTGTGATTAGGAAGAGAAACTCAGAACATGAGTTTTTGTGTACATTCTGAGTAGTATTTTTACTGTAAATTTTTGTACTTTAAAGTTCAAAATGGTTACTTTGTGATTGTACATATGAAAAAAMCTGTTCAAATAAGAATATAGTGTAAAATATAAAAACAATAATACAGAAGAGTTAATCAGTTTGTTGATATTATGTTGATTTTTTTTTCTGTGATGTCCTGACAGATTTTCCACTGATGAAGGGCAGTGTTGGAGTGTGCACAACTTCACCTCAGACCCAATCTTCTTCACTGGGYTGGCATCGGAACCAGGAGCTCGCTCCATGAACGTCAGCATCTGGGGCTACAGAGACTCTTTGCTAAGCCAGTACTGGGTCTCCTTCACCATCGACTTCAGGGAGCTCCTCACCAGAGTCTGTACGTGACGGTGAAAGATCCTCTCTGACGTCGATGAATGAATGTTTTCTGATCATTTCTAAGCATCCACTCACTGGTGTTCCCAGGTGAGGATAAGGATTACGTGCAGTGGTTGGCCCACTCTGACGACATCAGTGACCCCAACGACGGCTGCATGCTGGGTTACAAAGAGAAGTTCCTGCGCCTCAGAAAAGACTCGGTTTGCTGGAATGGACGTGATTATGAGATCAACAAGCAGCCGACTCCCTGTCCATGCACCCTGGATGACTTCCTGTGGTAAGACCATTGATGACGTCATCAACTCTGTTCATTGTAGTGACAACAAACCGTATCATGCAGTTTCAGGCGTGTTCTTCTTTTCTAGACAAGACTCAGAAGTGAAACTAAATCATAGTTTATTTTCTAGATAGTGGAGTAACTTTAGAAGCTTCAGCTTGACCTAATTTCTAATTAWATGAGCTCGACTCAAAATACAGCGGGTAAAATAAGTATTGAACACGTCACCATTTTTGTCAGTAAATATATTACTAGA